TTGGACATGCAAGGTATTTCAATTTATGCAGAGGGGCAAAAATGTCATAAAATGACAATCTTGGAAAGAGTTTTAAAAAGTGACATTTTTGTACATGTAAAGCCAAATATTGACATTTTGTGCAATTTCCTCTTTTTTTTTTTGTCACCGAATGAAAACGTCAACTATTTGCTTTGTAAACCCGTGAAACGTATACTGTACACATAGCAAAGCTCATTTAACACGGATTTAACTAGATAAATACTCGACTTTGTGACTAGATTTGTATATAGGTAATTATATTCACACCACACTTTTTATAAATTATTATATACCAAAGTTTATTACAATGAAGATTCCTATTTTTGTTCGTTTTGGCACTTACGTCTTAAAAAATTATATCGGGGTTTTATCAATGTTTTAAAACCCGCCCTGGGCATCAACTTGAAAAAGAGAAATGATCAAGAGTCAAAAGATTCAACTGATGTCGAATAGGTTCAAACCGGAAGTAATAAATAAATATTTATAAAAATTTAAAATTTAATTTCACAACAATATATAATTACATTTTTACACCATCAATTCAAAATAAATACAAATATGTCAAATGTATGTTTTTGAATATAAATTTTAATAGTTTTTAATTTGTTAGATCGCTTAAAACTCATTCCAATTTTACTGAATAATTTGTAAGATTAAAAAAATATATTTAGCAATCTATAGAAATTAAGTAATTCATACACTACGTAGTCATAAGTAATATTGAAAAGGTTTGCTTTATTGAAATTTGTCGATCCCACATTTGACGTGTATTAAAAGTGTGTTTTATTGAATTTTGTCCATGTTGAAAGTTTATCAATTATAAGACTCAAGAAATGTTTATAAAAGAGCTTCATAGGTAGAAAAGTGGGTAAATGGGTTTCCATCTTTAAGGTAACCTTTTTATTATATACTAGTAACGGCTAAATGTGCGTTACACGTTATTTTGAAATGTTTTATGAACACTATAAAAATGATATTTGAAAATAAGTGAATATAAAAAATAGTTAAAAAAAAAGGGGTTCATGTGAAATGAACTTTTTATA